GTTCTCAGAAGCTAACAAGCTGAAGAGATGTGTCAAGAATCTAGGGAGGCAAAGGTTAAGTTGATTCAATGGAGAAATGTATGCAATTGTGTTAAGGTGGAGTTTGTTGGAATTAACAGCAATTGCAGGTCCGGTTATCTCATACTGAGAACCGAAAAATTGGTTTTGAATCAACACTCGTGTGATCTAATTGTCACGTGTGTGGAGAGACTCTAGAGGATGTAGAGGCTTTGTTGTTAGATCAAAGAGAGAGTGTAAGATTCTGTTTTCAGTGTGTAGGAGACGTTCTTTTTCATTTTTCCTGATTTCAAAAGCTTGTACTCTCTTAACCTTTCAAATTCATTGTGAGAAGTTAAGGTTTGATCTATAGTGGATTGCTGAGATTCTTGGCTTGGAAGGGATCCATATCGGATCGTTTCCATAAACAATTTCGGTGTTCTCTGTTTTCTGTTTACAAGCAAAGCGAATCATCAAAGTGTTTGGGTAACTTAATTTAAACTGAATCGAAACTTGAATCCTTGTTGAATCAGTTCGTGTTACATGTCTGAAGCTCAACAATTTCCTTGAAGTGCTCTATAACATTAGTCCCCATTTCCATCTTTACATATTCTCCAAGGTTTGCCTAGTCTTTGAAGGTCAGCTCTGTGCATTTCATAAAAAAAGAAGAGAGAATCGCCAGGTATGAATTCTTTTTCTTGCTCTTGAATCAATTGGAATGGAATAAAAAATTTATTTCTTCGTCTTTTTGCTAATAAATCCGAGATCTCATGAAAACAGTATAATATATGAAATTATAATGCTAGTACCTAGATTCCATTCAATTCGGAATAATCGGGGCTCCCAGATTTTTTTTTTTATAAAAATCCGAACTGAAATTTTTTTGGCTCGCTTGATCATTATTCGGGCAACGCTTTGCCTTTGTCTTTGTCTCTGTCTCGCGTTGGGGGTTAATACTACGCCAAAAGAAGAGTCGGCATGAGATAAACTCATTTGTTCTATGATATTTAATTATGAAAAGTTGGAAACAACTGTTTAAAGGAAAAATCAAAAACTAAAGATAAAATTCTGATACATAAAAATACTGAGACGTGATTATAGAAAACAAATCGAAGTTACACGCTAATCTAAGGAAGAGACCATGTGGACCATCTGTATTTGAAGAAAAATCAAGAAAAAAAAAATCAAAACTTGTTGACATTCTAAGAGAAGGAATGTATTTTTGATTCTTGCAAATTTTCTTAATTACAAGTTCAAATTGTATTACAAGACTTATCGACTAAAACTTCAAAAATTGTATCACATTAACAATAAAATTTTCGGACTTTATTTTTCTTGATAAAGGAATTTTGGATTTTATGATGAAAATATTAAAATATGAGAGAGAAAGGATGGATGCATGGGACTATGGGAGAGATGTTTTGCCTCTTAATTTAACGACAATACTTCTCTTCCTCACAAATGGTTTGCCTTTCCATTGGTTGGCATTCGCATGCATTCCACAACTTATTTTAATTATTAGTGTCGTTAATATAATAAACTATACCTCTCATTATGATTATGGTAATGCCTTTATTTGCTCCTCATGTTCTCACTCTACTTCATTTTCCAACTATTAATTCATTAAATAAAAATTTAAGAAAACTTCATTCATAAAAATTTCTAGTAAAGGATTGTTTTCACTTCCTTATGTTTTGGAATCGGTTTCCATATTAGAAGAAAAATATGGAGGTTGAATCTCTCACAATAGAAAGTATTTTTTTTTTTTAAATCAAAACATAGATTTGATTTAATTAAACCGGTACGAACCCGATTATTATTGGTACAGAGGCTAAAGTTGATTTTGCGATCTCATCAGCGATTACATTCTCAGATCTAGGAATGAAAACAATCGTTACTTCCAAATTATCTTTCAATTTAGCAATATCTTGAGCGATTCCGTAGATCTCAAGATGGAAGCTTCTCGTGTTGATTAGTTTACTCTATCCCAAAGTAGAATAAGAATGTATTGGTTATTTTTTTTTGTGCAAACGTCTTTTTTCATTCCTTAAACTTTGAGATTACAAGGAATTAGAGTACGATAGATGAAAGCATTAGACACTAAAGCATAAAAGACAACATAGTTATGCGACCGCGAATCAAAGAAACAATCTTGATGCGTCAGTATAGAGTTCACGACTAAGCCAAAAAATATAAAATTAGTCGCTTTGACACGCGACTTTAGCGGGTTACCCATTGCTGAAGAGTAATGGAAGAATAAGAATTGCTGAAGAGGACTCTAGTTGACATACACATCTAAAAACATTCCTCGTCAAAGACGAATTCGGTTGCATCTTCTAGCCCCATAGATAACGCTAAACAAGAACACAAGTCAGATATGGAATTACTTGGTTTTGGTTCCGAGAAGGATCTTACTCTCCATGAGAGAAGAAAAGGTGAAACGGTTCTCTTCCCGTATAGTAAGGAGTATGGATGAGATCTCTCCCAAATGGAGGAAATTATAAGGTTTGAGAACCCATAAAACTTTGTTCTTCTCAACAAGGAGAAGCCAATTTGCTCAAAAGCGGATGAGAGTTTTGACACTATTTAGATATGGATCGTTATAAGCCTTCAAAGGCTTGTAGAATACGGTGAAGCTACTCGGTTGGTCATCGGAGGTGTCGTCTTCGCCTTTGCCAGTGATGAACTACCTCGAAAGAGAGACGAAACCCGGATCAATTAAATCAGTTTCACCTTCGGTAAAATTCGACCGGAGAGATGACTGTAAGGGATTGAGATTTTTTCCGGCCTATGCATTCTCTTCCCAGAAACTATACTGGGCCAGGCCCACAAATTCATAAGACAGAAGTAGGTTGATCGGAGTAGTGGTAAATGCTTCACCGGAGCACCAACTCCGGCCGTCGAGACGCATCTTCGTTGAATCGGGGAGAAAGAAACTTGGCCAAGGAGATGGGCCTGCTGAGCTCTGTAGACATTGATTCGTAATGGGCCTAGCCCAAAATTGTAAACATTGATTCTTAATGGGCCTAGCCCAAAATTTTGGATTTTCTTGTCGGAAGTTAGGCGGCTTTGGGACTAGGGCCACATGAAGACGACGGACGCGCTTCCTCTGTGACAGAATGTTGCAACATCTGCGTTAGGAGCCCAGTCGCGGTTGTCGGAGCTTTTCAATGGCCACATGTAAAGATTTATCGATGGTTTCAAGCTTTCATGAGATGGCAAATAGGGGTACGGCGGAGCAGAGAGAAGAACCGCTTGCGTAGGGAGGGCTAGATCCGAATGGGCTAGGACTGGTGACTGGTATCACCGTAGCTTGAAGATCCAGCGGATTTGGAGGGACGGACGGATCCGGCGGTCTCACTATTTGCACCCTCGACATCCCTAAATCAGAGCAGGCGGAGCAGTTCGGCGATGGAGCTAGTGGCTTCGACATAGCGGAGGCCATCATGGAAAAAGTCATATTTGTCGGAGACATGGAGCTACAAATGGATACCGGAGTTAACGCCACACGAAGCCAATCGAACCTTGTGCTTACCCCTTTTAGGTTCGGCGACGATGGTGATCTCAGAGATGAGATCCATGGAGCAGGTAATAAAGCCATGGAGAGATTCCGTTGCTCTTGTTTGGTCGAAAATTAGACTTCACTCAAATAATTGAACAGCACTCATCGGATTCGACGATTGCCTAGCGCAGCAACCAGTAAATCTATTGACGATGGCCGGCTGAGAGAGAGGAGGTGCTCAGGGAAGGCGCAAGCAGACGAACGGCAGTGAAGAGAAGCACATTCTTACTCGGTAAAGCTCGACAGCGACCACCTCGGTAGTTGGGCCTAAAAGGTTCTTTAGGGCGAACCACATCTCTTCTTCATCTTCCTTTGTATGTATTGGTTATTTATACATTTTATTTAACATATGAACCAATGAATTCAGCAACAATACAATGAAAATAATGCAACATAAAAAATGAAGGCCAAAGTTTAAGTCTTTATAAGTTGGTTAATTGACAAGCTTTCTGGAAAATGGTCATTGTATAAATTTGATTTTTTTTTGTTTCAAAGTTGAGTCATAGTTTTTTTGTTTTTTGACAAAGAATTTAGAATCATAGTTACATGCAAATCGTTTATTCGAACTACTTGATCATGGGTTTTGGTCTACGTATTCAAAAAGTTTATAGAAAACTTGTTGTCAAATAAAATATTCACGCTTAAATTGGTCAAACGTTTTCATGATCCATATATATGACTACTACAAGAAAATCACAGTTTTGAACTGAAGATATTATTAAGTAAATTAAATTGAAAAATAAAACTGCAAACGAATTTGAAGAAAAAGTGAATGTTTGAAGGTAAAATATGAATTGTTATGAAATAAAACAAAAAGGCGAGTAGGAGTTCTTAGAATTTTGTACATTACATTTACAGAAATATTCGATTTCTTTCATGGATTTATGCAGTGTTCATTATTTTATCTTGTAGATTAGATTTGACCAAAGAAGACTACACATCTCTATAAAAACAAACAAATCAGGTTTTAAAATATTGGTCATAGTCAAGAAGTGTATGTGTACATATGGATAATGGAAGAAAAAGAATTGCTGAAGAGGACTCTAGTTGACATACACATCTAAAAACATTCCTCCCAATCATTTAAATAATGTAAACGAATATAAAAAAAAACGCATTATTTCAATTCGAATACTTATTTCTTTTCTAAAAAATCGAAAGTGTAATGATGGCTTGAACACCCCACGAGCCATTCACACATCAACTTTTTATTACCCT